GGCCGACAAATGTCACCCCGAGGACTTGCACCGAAACGTGGCAGAGGCTAGAGACCGCAAAATCGAGCGCACAGAGGTTGGCGAACGCACCCAATAAGATTTCTTCGAACTGTCAGAAATCACCGGTGGGGGGCAATCTTTATATAGAACTTAGGTGAAACATTTGGCTTTGGACGGTTTACATTTGATTGCGACGAGACAACAAAACAACGAAACCCCGGCGATTTGCTGCAGCACCTGCAGGTCCTAGCCGTGCTGCAGCACTTGGACAAGGACCTGGTTTGGCCGCCGCTCGTCAAGCTGAGGATCAGGGGAAGTTGCGGTGCCGTTTTTTGGTTGGAGCAACCAACTTTTTGGCTCATTTTGAGTGGAAGCCAAAGCCAGTTGACTTGGGCCTTTCTGGCCATGGTCAACTCAAGCCCCTGAGAGAATTCAGACTTGCCATTGCTGGGGTCCCTTGCGAGACCATGACCATGTGGCTTTGGGGTGTGCATCATGATGTCCAACGGGGCGCGTGTGTGTTTGGGGAGGCGAGAAAACAAAACCTAAGTTTCATTGTTTTCTTCTTCCGGAGCCTGGAGAACCCCAGGCCATCCGCCCCTGGCCGCCTTCATGTTCCGCCTTCAGCCTTCAGGGTTCAGTTCCCTATCTTCCCATGTGTTTCCCAATATTTCTCAGTATTCCACGTTTTTGTTGAACTAGATTCTATGCCTTCCTACCTACATTTCCCAAGGTTCCATGTTGATTCTATGGTTCCCTCATGTTTCCCTACGTTTCCCCGTGTTCGATGGTTTCTCCATGTTTCCCCGATTGGGGCTTCGCAGGGCTTCAAATCCCACCACGAATCCAACCCACACGAATCTGGGGTTACCTGACTTCATGCTTCCCCATGTTCCCTCATGTTTTTCGGTGGTTCCCTCGTGTTTCCCCCAACCTGTTCCCTCATGTTTTTCGATAGTCTTTTCTATGTTTCCCCATGGTTCAACCTGTTCCCGAAATGGGTGCGGGTCAAAAATTAGGGTAGCCCCAAAATGGAACTTGCCCTGGTGTGTGCAAACAAACAACTAAAACCTGCGATCCAATTCCCGATGTTTTTGGATTTGATGATGGTTCCTCTGTTTTCCCCTATGTTCCCCCATGTTTTCCCTCATGTTTTCCCCTATGTTTCCCCTATGTTTTCCCCATGTTTTCCCAATGTTTTCCCCATGTTCCCTATGTTTTCCTTATGTTTTCCCTATGGTTCCCCATGTTTTCCCTATGTTTTCCCCAGGGTGCAACCTGTTTTCCCTGTGGTTCCCTGCCTGTTCCACACCCAGAGATCTGCTTCTCAGGTACGTGCACGCGGTGTCCGCGGAGTGGGATCTGGGCCTACGGGAGCTCCGAGCCTCGCTGAGCGTGGTGAGCCCCCGAGGCGTTGCCGGTCGCGCTCGCGTGTTTTGGGTTTTTTTGAGGGGTTCGGGCGTGGAAAGGCAGGACGGCAACCCCAAAAACCTCGGTTTCGAATGGGTTCACATGCTTCTTCTTAAATGGGTTCAAGTGGTTTAAACGCTTCGAATGATCTTTCAAATGGTTCAAATGCTTCTTCAAATGGTTCTTCACATGGTTCTCAATTCAAATGGCTCAATGAGGTTCCAGGGTGGGTATGGGTCAAGGATTGGCTATTCTTTTGGTTTCCTTATATCCCCCAAATCAGTGGTTTCCGGTGTTCAGGCGGGGTGATGGGTGACCGAAGACATGACCGTGTTTTTTCCTTTTGAACCCACCAAGGGCAAAAACACAGGTTTCGATCCTCTAGTTTGGAGGTGTTTGCCCTTGTTTTCAGGGTTTGACCCTCAAGATTCCGAGCTTAACACTTTGATTGTACGGTTTTACTCTCTCTCTCTCTCTCTCGCTTTCTTTCTTTCTTTCTTTCTTTCTCGTCCCTTGTTTCGCCCCCCACCCAAATCCACCAGTTGTTATGGCTTCGGGCTTCCGGGGAGTGCGAACAGAAACAAACGATTCTCAATATTCCCCAAGGGGCCACAAGAGGATGGACCAAGCATCCGCTTTTCTGAGTCCCTATTCATTGTCAGACCACTTTCCGCAAACCACCAGGTTTGTGGATTATCAGGGGACTCTTCTTACCTTCCGAAGGAAACCAACGGAAAAACCAGTTGTGTGTTGGGGGACTTTGAGAAACATCCAATTCCTTTACCACCGCCGAGCCGCTCGCCTCGCTCGGATCAGGTGCTGCTCTCCTTGCCGAGACGAGCGGAAAAAAACACCGTTGGCGAGTTGGGGAGTTGGGGATTTGGCAGTGTGTGTCCGTGTCCGT